ATAAAATTTTGAATGAGAGTCAACAAACGAGATGACATGGCCTTTCATCTACGACCCATATAAAAAGAGTTACTGGGACTACATTATATCTTGCCTTGACACGAGTGTCACACAGTATCAGGTTACCAGGTAAGGTGATAAAACACTAGCACTTTGTGAACAAAATGGAGCAAGGAGCAAAAGATCAATTTACAGGAATGATTTTTAATTGTTTTTCATAAATTATGAACTGCACAACTGAAGTTTCAGTGTAAATCTACTAATTTGCGATAATGGAATCCAATGGTGTATGAATTATGTTATTTTCACTATTTAAAATTCAATGAAATCCTCTACTAACAGTAACATGAATTTCAATATTGCTCTAATTTATTTTTACTCCAACTTATTTTGTTTATCTCATGTACAGGTATGCATGAATAGTCTCAAGTTACGTAATCAGGCTAATAGTTTATTACAAGTGAATGTGTGGTACATCTGTGCATTTGCTACTCCGACAGTCCATATTTTCAGTGTTCACCCATTTCTTTCTTAGTGCAGAACAACAATTGTAACCTATCTTTCTCTTAAACCACCTTATTTATAGTTATATGGTAGAAATCTTGTAATATATTTATTTCTCTTAAACTTTAAAATGCTAGAACACCCTAATATAATCATCAAAATATCTCTCGTATAACCACCTACAACGTATTTACTGGACTTTTTCTAACCTCAACAATTAATTTTCTTAAAAGTAAAAGTTAAAATAATGAAGTCTGAGTTGAGAGGCACCTAATATTTTTTTTGTTTTTAAACCTAAATATTAACTCTTTCCATTATGCGGATGACACGTAAGATAACCCATTTGTAGGGAAATATTTTCTTTTAGTGAATCTCAAAACTTTAAAAAAAAAAACCATTTACCACTTGCCAACCCTTATCTAAGGTTGTTTTAGGCCTAACTTCAATTCAAATAACTAACGTTGTCGTTAGTACTAGTAGTAGTACTACTGCAAGGTATCCAATCAAACTTCATCAACTCGTGTATATAGACTTATCAAATACTTTTAATAAATACTATATCAAAAGAAAAACACATTTTTCAACTTACTTGGCGAGCTCTCTGAAGTGCATCCGCAAATGCAGAACTTCCTGTACTTTCAAAACTACCAGTAGACTGGGAACCAACCTTAAAATCCGTCATGCTGTAGTACTCAATATGGCGATACACCGACGATCAGTCACGTGACAACCTATGTCGATAATATAATAAAATATGACAGATTATTAGCACACGCTCACATATATAAATTGAATATCTTGTTAGGAATCTTTAATTTGGATGTTTACAAGGGAATTTTAACAACAAAAAAGACGGTCCTTTGATGGAATATAGGTTGTAACCAAAACGGCTGTCAATCACACAATTTATAAGTAATTATTTATAGTAACATTAGATAAAATTATTTTATTAAGTAGACATTATTTAACATGATACAACCATATTTATAAACTGAAATCATAATCACATTAAGACTAAAAAAAGTTACAAATATACTTATTTTAATTAAAACAATATATTTTATAAGCCAAACAATAATAGTTAAAATACTAGACAATCGAGGAATCATCTTGGAATGAAAGTGCACAAGCGAGGTTTTTCAGCTAGAATAAAAATTTAAATATTGGTTTCTATAATCATTCTTTTTCGAAAATATATATTAATAATGAATACACTTTGCTTTTATGTTGTTGTTTTTTCAGAATTTCGCACAAAGCTGTAGGACGAGCGCGGCCCAGTGGTTATTGGTTAGCTAGTCGAACTGTGCCAATAACAGTCTTACTGTATATAAACTGGCCAGTAAACTAAGACTTACAATATTCTCATTAATATTTGTCTTATTTGTTCATTCTCCACAACATTTCCGAACCTGTGCTACGTCACTTGGTCATTAATTGTTAGGCAACAGTATACTTGAATGTGATGTGATTGTAAAAATTACTATTATGGGTAATATATGCTTTTTTTATTATTACAGAACACAAATATATATATATATAAATCTAACGATCATTCGACCTTTCAACATAAATCCAATTTTTTTATTGAAAGAACCATACCGGTGATATTACATATATATATATGGATAGTCGGGGATGTGGCCAAGAGGAAAGCATAAAGAAACATAAAGACAATCAGTGAAATAAGAGATGCACAAGGTGTTTTTATCTTAATTTTTACATTTTTACCAGGATTAGAAATCAGCTAAATGTATGTGTTCATAAAAACTTGCCAAAGTCGAAATATTCTCTCTAATATCATGACATAGTGGCAGACTATAAGCAAGAGGGTCAAAGGTTCTATTGTCCAAAATTCCAGCACAAAGTGGATAGCGAATTCATTTATGGACCTCAATGCCTGATATGTTTTGTAGAATTTTTAAATGAAGAAACATTTTATGTTTTATTGACAGGGATTTATTATATTTGATTACTTACATGCTAGAACACATGGATATTCTGTAAATATTACATTGGACTGTAGATATACAGTGAAATCAGTTTCTTCGTATTTTTCAAATCAGGACCTGTTTGGATGATGGAGAAGATGAGGGATATTGAAATGAACAAAATGACTTCGTTTAAACAATTGAAATTTAAAGGTGCTTTTCAGGGCCACCACATCACGAGAAAGAAAAAGCTAGGTTTATACACATCACCCCTACTGGTGAAAAGGTTTCTCACTTCTCATATTTGCAATGAACATTAGCATTAGTCTTTCTTGCAAGTTTTTAATGAATGATTAGCTATAGATCTTAACAGTTCATCTAGGATCGTATTAATTGAAGTTTTGTGAATACATATTTCAGTATGTGGGGCAACAGTCTTATTTAGAGTGGGTGATTTTCCTTACATACATTGTTGATAGTATATCTATCTATACGAGACTTGTATTAGCCAGCGTTATGAGTAAAGTTCCAAATCAGCCAGAAACAAGCTCTATACAAAAATCTGTGAAAGGTAAGGAAATAATTTTCAACATAGTTATTGACATAGATATTATACAATTATGCTCCACAGTGGTATGTCTGCGGAGTTACAATGCTAGAAACCGGGTTTCGATACCCGTGGTGGGCAGAGCACAGATAGCCCATTGTGTAGCTTTGTGCTTAACTTCAAACAAACAATTCTACAATTATAGTTTAGTGAATGAAATCAACGTAATGAAATTATTGTATATTATTTAAAGGTTTAGATGAGCATCTTTTTTCAGGACAAATAGATATTATACAATACATTAATTATAGAAATGAAAACTTCTTAATAAGCCATAAGTGTTTTACATATAACACACCAGAAAAATGCAAAAGTGGGCCATGCAAATTAAATTTAGAAGTGAAAACTATAATCACATGCTAGTGTGCATTACATGTCTTAATAACACAATCTGCTTAAAATGAAAGTGCTGCAAAGACCTTATTTATCTTGTGTGTGTGGACAATATTGTATATTGTTAGAAAGCCAGAAAAATTGTGATTGTTGTGGTACATTGTTTCTTTTTGCACGTTATTATTCTGTGTTTTTGTGGCATTATTTAATTAAATATAAATTATTTAACGCAGTATTAGTATTAAAAGTAGGGTTAAGTTGCAATGAGAGTGAAGAGCAAAAAAAAAAAGACCCAGGTAAGTACTGTTACGTCTCTGTTCGTTTGTTAATTTCCCAAAAAGGTTCTTCCCGAGGAACTTCAGCATTACAAGTCCTTTCTTAAATAAAACTAGTTTATTCTTTCTCAATACAACTTTGCAATACACAGAATTTCCACAGTCACTTTAACTTAAGCACACGCTATAATTCACAACGATTCACGCACTCTACTTACGACTTGACTCGATTGTCTGTCTCTATATCTCTCTGTCTGCTATCTAATTAATTATCTCGCTTTATTTGCCGCGCTTATATACAAGAAAAGAGGGCGTCTAGAATGCACTCGCCTCTTCATGAACCTTCTAGACACTTATCACGTGTTACCAGGTCACGTGACCTCCACAGTCGTAACAGTACTTTATTTTCTGTTTTTCATGTGTATTCTTTATTTATTATTATAAAATTAACTAAGATGTAAAAATTGAAAATTTTTAGCTTAGCTAAAGTAAAATAGATAATATTAATAATAATGATTTTTATGAGGTACACTCGAGAATAGTTCGTGCATTCATTACGTAATTTGACACAGTAATGTGAGCTGCACTTTCGTCATGTGATTTGCAATTTATATGGCACTAATAGTAGTTAAACACAGTTCAAAGAGCAATGAAACAATAAAACTTAAGTATAAATAGATGTATACTGTTACCAGCTTTGAGCTACTTTGGATAAACAATTGTGATTTTCTATTAAATTTTTCAATCATTCCAGAAAGCAACTAGGGGAAATTTATAATTATTTCCTACTTTTTTATGGTGTTTATAAAGTCAGTCAAATAAACCGACCTCATATAGAGTTAGGGTAAAGAAAATAGCTGATAAGATAAAGTTTTTCCGTAAATAATACTGTTAGGTCTCCGCTCGTTTGATAATTTCCGGTAAAAATTCTTCCCGAGAAATTTCGGCGATACAAGTCCTTTCTTAAATAAAACTAGTTTATTCTTTCTCAATACAACTTTGCAATACACTTAATTTCCACAATCACTTAAACACGCGCTATAATTCTCAACGAACGATTCACGCACTTTACTTACTATCGCGCTTGACTCAATTGTCCGTCTATATCTTCAATCTCTCTGTCCATTATTCAATTCCGATCAATTGTCTGGCGCACTTATAAACAAGAATAGAGGGCGCCTAGCAAATACTGGATTATTCGTAATGTTCCCGATCTTTCTA